ATCGGGAGATGATAACCATGACGGTGATGAAGAAGAAGGAGAAGAAGACGCCGACGAGGAAGACGAAGACGAAGAGGACAATGAGGAAAAGAAAGAGAAGCCCTCTTCTAAGAAGCCCCTATTAACTTCTTCATCTGCGGTTTCAAATTCAAATCCCCAATGGCCATCTGCCTCCGAAGACGATTCCGGATCCGGGTCGGAAACGGAGTCCGAAAAAAACAGCCAATCACCATCAGCTTCCGACTTCACCATCAACCCTATTGTTTCGAAGCCCATGAACGACCGGATCCGGGTCGGAAACGGAGTCCGAAAAAAACAGCCAATCACCATCAGCTTCCGACTTCACCATCAAGCCTATTGTTTCGAAGCCCATGAACGACCCCGTCAAGCCCAACAAGAAGAATGCTCCGGCGAAGCCCGCGCCGGCATCCAATTCCGGGTCAAAGCGCCTGGAGACCGAGCCCAACAAGAAGAATGCTCCATCGTCGTCCAATTCCGTGTCAAAGCGCCGGGCGGAGACCGAGCCCAACCCGAAGGACTCTAAGAAGAAGAAGGTCGTGAACAGTGGCGATGACGATGATGGAAAAAAGGGACGGCTTTGGAGCGAAGATGATGAAATTGCGATCTTGAAGGGCATGATAGAGTACCAAGTCAAAAATGGCCCCGTAACAAATTCGACTATGGGCGCATTCCATGAGTTTATCAAGAAAAAATTGCAGGTCGATGTAAGCAAGCTGCAGTTGAGCGATAAGATCAGGAGGTTGAAGATGAAGTACCAGAAGAAGGGCGAGAATGGCGAGGATCCGGTGTTTTCCAAGCCCCATGAAGTCAAGTCCTTTGATCTATCGAAGAAGGTTTGGGATGTTGAGGCTAATGGGGTCGATGATAATGCAAAGGACAGCAAGAGGAAGCCAAGGAAGAGCAATAAGGTTGACAAAGCTACAGTCTTGGCCTTACCTGTTTCAGATGTAGCACCCGTTTCAGATGTAGCTGAGAAGAAAGAGGAGCTGAATGTAGCTAATGGTGGAATCAAGGCTGACCCAGTTGACTTTTGGTCTAAATACCCATGCCTGAGTGGTTCTTTGGGGTTGGACAATTCCACACCGAGGTCAGATTTAACTACCCTTATGATTCAGAAAATGCCTTTGATTGGGAAATCAAAGGCTAAAGAGTTGGAGGGGAAGTGGAGGGCCTTGCAGCTTATTGAAATGGAGTTGTCTGTCAAGAAGCTTGCTTTGATGCAGGAACAGGCTAAATTTGTATTGGATTCAATGAAGTCTTCGGAGGATTAGAGGTTACTTTGAAGGTAATTCATGGTTTTTCTGGACTTTTTGTTAATATTTGAGTTGAAAACTTAGTGGTATTTTCTTCAGATGGAAGTTGTTTTGTTTTATCCATTGGGTTCTCAAATTTTGATAAAGAATATTGTTTTGCTATTAGCCTAAGGTATACCATATGTTACATGGAGATTATTTCCGTATAATTCAAGTAATTTCTTTATGGTATTTTAGCTCTGTCTTTTGCAATTTATTTTGAGACTAGATAGGGTTTGATAAATAGTCTTGTTGATTGGAAAATATGATGTTACAAGATTTCCTTTGTTGCGTGGTAACATTTTGTTTTATTGGTGGTGTGGTGGAGATCTTTATAAGGTTCTATCTATCTGAAGAATCAGGGGTAACAATTTGTTTTATTGGTGGTAGAGATCTTTATAGGGTTTTAACTTCTAAGTATCTGTAGTCTGAAGATTCAGGGTAGGAAATGAGAGATAATTTGACCCACTAGAATTTATCAAGTTCATATGAACTCAGGTGAAGAATTTGTCCCACTAAAAAGGAGGGAGCCAAATATTTCACTTGGCACTCTAACCCCATTCTTAGATGTGGAATTATAAGAGGCATCCTTCTTTCCACAGATAAAAGTCTAAACCCTATACTACATACTCGGCTCAGCTTCCCTATATGGTCGCCTTGGCCTAATCCTACCGACTAAACCAGAGACAACTGAGAGTTGGTACGAGGTCATCTGTTAAGAACCCATGGGGGCATCCTTCTTTCTACAGATAAAAGTCCCCTCCCTAAGGTTGCTCTACAATGGAATTGTAGCCCATGCCCTGCATGTGGATGCTATGGTACCAAATGACAGGAAACCATGGGGAGAACTTGTCTCTGTAAAACTGGCTTGCAGTTCCAATAGTTCATGTACTCACTACTAATTCGATGTTTGATTACAAGAGGCACATGATACGAGTTTTTTTTATGGAATTGTGATGCTTTTCTAAATCTTATACCTGATTGATATTCTTGAGGGTCTTGAAATAGATTCCTTTCTCTTGTCTGAAGAATCAGAGTAGGTCTTTAATTATTATACACGTTCTTAAGAGCGAGTAGAGTTAATGGTTAACATGATAGAACCAGCATATAGTAAGGGGTCTTTTTAACTTGGATAGGATAGGGAAAAATCCTCCCACTTATCTCGTGTGTCAAATAGGGAAGCTGGCCATGATGTTTAAGTTGAATGACCATTATGTGCTTGGTATGCGTAACCAGTGTTTTCAAAGGCATGCATAGGCGCCCCTCGAAGTGCACGTTAGAGCAAGACGGGAGCAAATCGCCTCAAGCATTCCCTTGTTTAGCTGTTTGCACACTTAGCGCGTGCATCGACGACGAGGCGTAGGAAGGCATGCGCTCTGCCATGTGAGACGTGAGCTGCGCGAGGAATTTGGGTTACCTTTGGGTTTTAATGAAGCTGTGTGTTTTGGGTGTTGTTTTTTTTTTTTCTTTCGTTTTTTTTTTCCAAAAATTATTATTTGGCATGACAAATCAATTTCTCACTCCTACCCAATACAATCAAACAGACCTAAACCCCAAATTCATTCTTCTCAGCCGCATATCTATTCAGCTCTAACCTTCGTATCAATTTAGGAACCAGCCTCCCTCTCAATTGTATGACCAATTGAGTTTTAAGATTGACTAATTATAATTATTACTTATATTTAATTATATTTGATTGATTATTAAGCTTCAATGGAAATTAATGGTTCAGTTTAATTATATTGTATTATTAATCAATATTCTTATAAAAATAATTCATGTCTCAAAAGGCTTACGCCTCACCTTACGAGACCAAAGACGCCTTGCATCTACCTTTCAAAACATTGTGCATAACATATAGGTTAATTAGAGCTTGAACATCTAGGTAAGAATTTGCATAAAGTCCATGATTTCAAATGTGCTGGCTACTAGTCCCTTCTGCATCTGCATTGATATGAAACTTTCCACAGCGTCCTCCTCTGTCGTATCTGGGCCAACGGGTTCATAGTGATGCACTTTCGAAATAGTTGTGTTGTGCCGCTGATGTATATGCAGGATGTTTGAATTTAGAATTAGGCAGTTTTCTTTTGTGCCAGTTTTGCCTCACTTCTATAAAGAAGCTGTTTAGCCTCATGATTGTTTTCCTTCCGCCTGTCCTGCCCTATCTACGCGGCAGTAATAATAACTGGCAATTCTGCCACAGTTTACTTATGGAGCCGGCCAAGCTCTCCCCCAGGCAGAATTTAGCTTGCCTTTCTGGTTCTTGGGAGGGAGTCTATATTCTTGAAAAGTCGGCAACCCACAATTATATGTCCGTACTTTCAGTATTGTTTGAAAGAGCTGTTATTGAAACTTCAATAATACTCCTCCTTCGTACAGAAAAAACATGCGGGAGACATTGCGTATTGAGCCAACAAGAGTTCCCTTGTTTGTTTGATACCCTAATGAAGAAATTGTAGAGATTCCTAAATTCATAGATACCAATGAACCAGTGTATAGTTGTTTTATCGTCTTTTGGTACGTGCTTCCTTCCTAGACTGACCTTCTGCAAAACGTGCATCATCAGATAAATGTTAATGAATTTGTATTTCTGCGCATGGAGAAATAAAAAATAAATAAAGTTATAGTCCTCCCAAAAAATCAAAGCAACATCTAAATTGTATGAATCGTGACAAACACCGGCTGCCATCAAGAAAGACCTCGGAACAAGGAATTTTTTAACATATGGGTTAGTTAAAGTTATTAGCTTAAAATCTAATGCTCAAATTTTTTTGTACTTACAATTTCTATAGGTTTTTAAGAAATAAAAGTATATATTAAATTATATAAACCATGCAGATGGGGTGACACTACGTGGAAAAGTGGGCCAAACTCTCCCCCTCCCCCCCCAAAGTGCGCCCGGGTTCGATTCATGTAGGAGACAATCTTGAGACAACCCATTATAATACTCCCCCTCTCTAGCGAATAACAAAAAATAAATCATATAAACCACGCTAATTCATAGTTCCATTAACTAAAGTTATCAGTCATCAAATCCAATTTGGATACATATTATTTGACATCTCCATTGGAGATACTCTTAATTGAGCAAACAAATTAAATATAAGATAATTATAAGCCTATAAGTTGAGTGGACAATGAGTTATTAGACTACATTCAGGGGGACTACTAATTTTTTATACAGTGAAATCAAATTAAAATACATATAATTTTTTTAATATTTTTTAAAGACTACCTAGGCTAGAGCCCATGGTAGTCTTGTAGACTTTCAAGGTTTCAATTAATTATTGTACTCTAATTGGAATAAAACGTGCAAAATACCTGCAATGCAAAACACATGCGTTTGTACCAACAGGAGTTGGTCCAAGTGGAAGGGGCTTGGATCCTTTAAACAAGAGGTCCTAGGTTCGATCCCAGACGCTTGCGAATAGAGCAGACTTTGTTGGGAGAGGTCCCCGCTTTGCGCCCGACAGTACCTCGAGGGTTAGTCCCCGAAATCGCGCGGGGATACCTTGGTTTTCAAACAAAAAAAAAAAAAAACACATGCGTTTGTTAATTGATGCTCATCTCAACGTGCTTCAATAGTAGTGCTCAGTTAAAATATCTTAGATGTCGGTTTTTAGGTAAGCGGGATTGTATATATATATAAGCTCGTAGTCACCGCTATATTGTATCCAATCTTAAATACACAACCGTGAAACATATTATGTTCTACTCCCTCTCTCACTCCTTGCCCTTGGTCTCTTCCTCCTTTGTCACAAGTTATCAAAGATTAATCCATATTCCAACAGCTCTACAGCATAGAACCAGGGGAAAACAATATCCCTCCTTCATCATCTCAAGAAACTCATCATCATCACCATCATCAATGGAGATAAGTAATCCTCCTGCGCCTCAACGGCGATTAGCTCAATACCATCCTACCATTTGGGATCACAAACTCATAGACTCCTTCACCACTCACTACACCGTACGTACACGAATACATTTCATTAACTATATTAATCATATACTTTTGAATTAGGTTATGCCTCACCTGTGTCATGCATACACATCATGATCATTTTTTTTATATTAATATTCATCCAATGCAGTATGAATTACATGCCACGCGATTGGAGAGTCTAAAGCAGAACGTTGCTAAAACGTTGCTGGCTGCATCCACCAGTAACAAAGGCAGCTCTGCTAGCACTTGTTCCGTTTTAAAGCTTATCGACTCTATGCAGCGGTTGGGAGTGGCCTACCATTTTGAGCAAGAGACCGATGCAGCTCTACTTAGTCTCGTTTCTTCGAGCACTCACGGTACCACAGATGATCTTCACACAGTTGCCTTGCAATTCCGGATACTAAGAGAACATGGCATCTCTATTAGCCCAGGTATAAATTTCACATACTATGGCATCTCTTTACTTCAATTATCCGAACCATCTGTTTTTCCTATATTTCAATTCTTACTTTACTTGTGGATGATGGTGACAAATGAACAGATGTGTTTAACAAGTTTAGAAGTAGAGACGGAAGCTTCAAAGACAGCTTAAGCAAGGACGTGGAGGGACTTTTGAGTTTGTATGAAGCCTCACACCTTGGGATGCCTGGGGAAGAAGAAGATCATGTTTTGGAAGAAGCCAAGAGTTTTAGTACCAGAAACTTGAGACAATTAATGGTAACTTTGGAAGACGATAATTTATTGAAGCAATTAGTAGAGCAATCACTAGAAACCCCCCTGCGTTGGAGGATGCCAAGAATAGAAGCCCGGAACTTCATCGATATCTACGAAAGAGACAATTCTAAGAACCTGGCTTTGCTTGAATTGGCCAAGTTGGATTATAATCTTATCCAATCAGTATATCAAATGGAAATAAAGGAGCTATCAAGGCAAGACATATATGTTTATTATTTTAATCAAACTGCATCATTGACAAAAACTAGACTGAATGTGTTTAATCAGATTTGATTATTGTCCCCAAAACGCATGATGCAGGTGGTGGAGAGACTTGGACTTCAAAAACAAGGCAAGTTTCTCAAGGGATAGATTGATGGAGAACTACTTGTGGGCAATGGGGATCAATTATGAGCCCCGATTATCAGAATGCAGGAGTGGCCTCACCAAGTTTGTTTGCATATTAACAATAATTGATGACATGTATGATGTCTATGGATTTCTGGATGAGCTTGAGCACTTTACACAGGCAGTATGTCGGTAAGATGTAATTGAGATGTTTTTTTTTCCCTTGGATTATATGTTTTTTTTTAATGACTGAATAATTCATAGATCATAGAAATAATGGCCTGCCATTGCTGCACGGGATGCATGTGATACCAGTCAAATTCATAGATCATAGAAATAATGGCCTGTTTTTTTGTATGGATTTTGCTTGCGAGGCGGGCACACACACACAGTCTTTCTTTTGTTTTCTTGTAGCTAAGCTAGATCATCAATTGTCTTCACATAATCCTTTCTTTAACCTATACAAAGTTACATAATTAATTACGACGTAATCATCTTCACTAGTAGGTAATCGAGACATGCTACCTAAGCTATTACTTATTTTTCTTTGTTATAATGGAAAATAATTGAACTCTTGACTTAGTCTAATCCTAATTCATTTTTCCGATTTTTGGAGCTTACCTACCTAGATTAAATTTTCAGTCAAATAATCATTTCAAGTTTTCCACCTTTCTTTTTCCTTCCTCATTTTTTTCTTTTTGTTGTTGTTTTTACACAGATGGAATATGGAAGCGAAGGAGGAGCTTCCCGAGTACATGAAGCCAGTTTATGCTGCCATGCTCAAATTTGGCAACGAATTAGCTGATAACGTTTTTAAAAATAATGGTTTGGACGTCCTCCCTTATATTAAGAAAGAGGTAATTACGGTGAAATGTATATCCACATCTCTTCTTATATATATATATAGCTTTAGTTGAGGATCCCTCATATAAGCTTATTTGAGAGATACTTTTGTAGAGCCCATTTCATATTATATTTCACTAATCCAAACTGTCTATTTTGTAGATACTCATTCAAAAATCATCCCTAAAAAAAATCACTTGAATCCGATATTATTTGACCACTCAATTGAATTATTGAAATGTTAGTACTTTCTTGAAGCATTGTGTTCATTGATTTTGTAGGACACAATTGGATATCGAAATAATTTTCTAATTTGTCCAATTTTTTGCAAAGATGATCTATGAATGTAGACTTTAAAAAATAAATGGTTTGAATCATTTAAAAAAAAAATTTAGGAAATCCTAAAAGGTATTCCTCAATAAAAGGGTACTGATATATATATATATCATGCATAAAGGAATCCTAGAATAGTTACAAACACATAAAGTTAAATTTGCCATGTCAGTGTCCATTCTGCGTATCGTACTAACAGTAAACGCGTCTTCTTTTCTTTAATTTTATTCTCCTTTTTTATGTTTTGTTTTTTGGGTGTCTGTTGGCAGTGGGTAAATCTTTGTAAATCATATTTGGTAGAGGCACGGTGGTTTTACAGAGGATACACACCAACTTTACAAGAGTACTTGGACAACGCATGGACTTCAGTGGGTGGCCCTGGTGCTCTTCTCCATGCTTATTTGTTGCAAGGATTAGGATGCCACCTCACAAAAACTTCACTTGAGTCCTTTAAGCATGGCTCTCAAATTGTATATTGGTCATCCCTCATGACTCGACTTAGCGATGATTTGGGCACTTCCAAGGTAACATATGACTTAACTAACGAACAAGAAAAATGCTAGCATCACTCACGCGAATGGTTGACATTGCATCACGAGTCCATGCGTGATTGATGCTAGATCAACTCGTATCTTAGTATCTTCTGTATGTAATGTATATATATAAACTTAATTAACTTATTAGCAAACTTGATATAGTTGAGTTCTAATTATTCTGTTTTTTGCACAAATTATAAAGGCTGAAAGTGAGAGAGGTGATGTGGCTAAAGCCGTAGAGTGTTACATGGAAGAAAAAGGCACATCTGAGGAAGAAGCACAGCACTACATAAACGATTTGATATGCTATTCATGGAAGAAAATGAATGAGGAGAGTGCAAAAACTAGCGGGATACCAAAATCAATTGTAAAAATGTCACTCAATATGGCGCGGACTGCTCACTCTATCTTTCAACATGGCGATGGTATTGGAACTTCAATTGGGGTCACCAAAGATCGTTTAATTTCTCTGATTGCAAATCCTATTCCTATATATCATGAACACAAGTGACCAAGATCACTGGTTTTATTGTAATTGACTAGATTCTTAATTACAGGCCTCCTAAATTGATCCAACAAGCGGAAAGGCTGAAAACAATTCTGTAAACACTCAGTTTGATGTGAATTTTCTGTTCTCAAGTGTTTTTGCTAAAACTGCTTTTACTGAAAACACTTTTATGCTAGAAGTACTTTAACTAGAAACACTTTATGCATTCACCTTTACAACAATTTGAGCTTTAAAAGAACCCCAGGGGGAGAGCTTTAACCTTAACCCCTCCCCGGCTCGGAGTGGTTGCACACTTGCCCCCATTTTTTCATCAAAAAAAAAAAAGGGGAAAGCCCCCCTAAAGTTCCATGTCCCATCTTTCTTTCTTTTTTTTTTTCTTTTTTTTTTTATGATCTTTTCTATTGAGAGGGACAATAGTATATTAAACTCACACACACTACACGGATGCTAGGACTCAACCCATGACCTTTTCTGGGAGGAGCAATTGCTCCGAACCACTACGCTATTGAGTCTTTTGCTCCATCTTCTATATTAATCCATGGCCTTTGGAAAATAAAAGAAAAAGAAAAAGGCACCTAACAATATGATCTTGAGATAAGCAGCATTATTGAATATAATCCATTCCTTTTATATTAAATTACTTGAGGAGTAAGGAGAGATTAGCACTAAAATTGTCTTACATGGCACTAAGTGAGTGGTAAAGGGTAGCATTGTCATTTCACAGTCAGGAGGCATGGTGTAAGCATGGAAGGATGGATTAGTAAAGTAATTTGGCAAAAGGAAACAAATATATAAGAATGGACTGAATGATTGATACTGAACTGGGTTTTAGTCAGTGGATGCAGTGGCAGATATGTAATATGCTACACAAAACAGGCCATGAACAAAACACAAGATCCCTCCAATTGACAGAAAATGATGGTGTGTGAAGCCACATGAAGCTCTTGACTTGTGGTTTGACCAAGTCCCAATCACCAGCATGGCCAATCCAACCCCAAAAATGATCCTGATCATCAAATGAATTTAACAATTAATCTTAATTAACCAATAATCTAATCATGTAATTTGAGAGAGAGAGAGAGAGAGAGAGAGAGAGAGAGAGAGAGAGAGAGAGAATATATATATATACATACCAGGTGAAGACGAGGCAAGCCACAGAGAGTTGCTTATTAGGAGGTGCCTTTTGGAGCTCTTCTTGAGAACAAATGCAACTGCATCCACCAAGCAAGTTAGCAACAACATGGGCTGCAACCAAAAGTCCTGCTGCGGCTAATCCTAGCTTGAAAGCTGCATGGCTTGGTTCTCTGCACTCGAAAATCCATAGCCTCAAGTGCTTGACCTGAATAGTTTGAATTATATTCCCAAAAGCCATGAACATAAACATTCCATTAACAAAGAGAATCATTGTCAGAAAGAAATTAATATACCTTGTTTTGTTCAAGCTCTGCTTCGATGCCCAGAATCCCACCTACGATGTCCATTGCCACGATCAAGAGGCACACCAAAAACCCTCCTAGTCTTACCATTTTCTCTCTCTCTCTCTCTGAGCTGAGTTTGTTTGTAGATGATGAGCAGGAAGGGAGAAATATTGCAGGAAGGGAGAAATATGAAATATGAATGGGGAGAAGAAAGAATAAGGGGGACGAATATGTGTGAAAGGGTACGTAGGAAAGTACGTAGAATGGATCATTAGCTGGGAGAAGTGGGTAAAAAAGCTTCTTTTGTCTACACAGTGCAAGCTTTATTTTGCTTTTGGGTCTTTTATCTCTCCTTTATATTTTTTATTTGGTCTTGGATTCCTTCGATGGGGAAGCAAGAAAAGAAGGGCATAAACCAGCTCATAGAGGAGCGTGCCTAACCATCTTTTCTTACACCACCCATATATGCCCAAAGATGAATCGGTGGGTATTCTCTGATCTTCAGAACCTTTTTGACTTTTCATGTGGAAGATATTTTTGTATCCTGCTCACTACCAATGTGTAAATCATTTTCTTTCTGCAAGCTTCAGAAACTTTGGTAACGTTTTCACACATCCTTAATTTTAGGACATCCATATCCTCCACAGTGAAGTGAGTTATAAATTCTCTGAGTTGGTGATTAGATTCAAATGACTTGAAGCTGTTAATTCTAAGGGAACTAATCAAATGAAGAAATAAGTAAGGCAATATGTGGAATGATGAATCATGATAGAGATGATTGAAGGTATTTAACGTAATTCGAATCAGTAGAGTAATTGGGCTTTCCGGGTGTGCTAGTAGTGCCACGCTTTAATTCATGTCTTGGCTTGTGACATGAGAATATGCAAACTCATGAGCAGAACATGCTCGGGTCTTGGCCTCCTTTCCCAGATGTATTGGACCTATTTATACTTGGGTTTCTCTACTGTAATGTAATATGGTGAGCTGAGATAAAAAAAGCCTGCGAGTTCATATTACAATTCATGAGATTAAGGGGTTCAATCCAAATTTTTTATTTATAATGTTTTATTCATATTTTAATCAATTTAAAATAAACAAGCGAAAATGTGGGACCCATAGTGCCATGTAAGCAACTAACAGGGAGATCTAATCGAAACCCTACTGCCAAAACCACATTGTAACAAATTGAAAAGATCGGGCTATCTAATCGCAAAAATCGAGAGGATTGGGATTAACATGCCTTATGAGTGCAATCACATGGTATTAAATTATCATTAACCTTTTTATTTAATACAAACAATGTCTAACTCCGTTGAAGTTTCCGTTAAATTTAGGGGAGTATCCGTAAATTCATTGTAACTAAAAAAGAATTCTAAAAAAGAAAAAAGAAACATTACTCACCAATAATAATTAATTTTTTATTAATAAAAAAGTCAAAATTTACTTCATATTTTCATAAATGTGAGTTTTTATAAAAACTTTCAAATATAGGCCAAATACCCACTTGAATAGACTTAAATGTCTTTAAAAAATAACCTATGTTGATGCTCAAAAATGGTTCGGTACTTTTGGGCCCAACTTAGTGATGTCTTTGCCTTCGGCACCTTCTGGACTTCGATAGAGCGATCGATCTGCAAGATAGAACATGCCTAGTAAACCCTTGGGCATCGGTTTGGTACCGTCTGAAGGCTCTCCAATGCTTAAGTAAGAATAAGTACGAAGAGAATAAGTACGGAGTGTATAGTAATCTGGACAGAGTAATGGTTGAATTGGCGAAAGTCTCAATTACCTCCTTTTTGGGACTTGTGCCCAGTTTTATAAATCTTGGGAGATGTGCATGTTGTGTAAAACTTCGATGTGGGATTGTTGATATTACCTGTGGTGGTTCCATGTGTCCCAGCAGGTAAATTCCTGGTAAGGGGTCTTGTGTTGCGCTCAGCAGTAAGGGGTGCCAAACACTCCCGTACCGATGGTGCTTTTCAATCCACGTGTGACCTCTGTATTGGTCGATCTAATTGGGTATAAACAACCTATCATATAAAAATTTGAGTATTTTGTACGCACCTGCAGCACTAGTCGAACGGTTGAGTGCTACATGGAAGAAAAAGGCATATCTGAGGAAGAAGCACAAGGCTACATAAACGATTTGATCTGCTATGCATGGAACAAAATGAATGAGGAGAGTGCCCAAAAAAAACTAGCAGCATTCCAAAATCAGTTGTAAAACTGTCACTCAATATGGCGTGGACTACTCAGCCTATCTTTCAACATGGCGATGGTATTGGAACTTCAATTGGGGTCACCAAAGATCGTTTAATCTCTTCGATTGAATATCCTATTCCTATATATCATGAACACAAGTGACCAAGATCACTGGTTTTGTTGTAATTGACTAGATTCTTAATTACAGGCCTTCTAAATTGATCGAATCTGAAAGGCCGAAAGCAAGTCTATAAACACTCAGTTTGATGTGAATTTTCTATTCTTAAGCATTTTTGCTAAAAATGCTTTTACTAAAAACACTTTTATGCTAGAAACACTTTATGCATTCACCGTTACAACAATTCGTGCTCTCAAAGGGTAAAGCATCCAAAAAGTTCCATGTCCCATCTTTCTTTCTTTATTTTAAGATTTTTCCTATTTAAAGGGGCGACAGTATACTAAACTCATACACACTACACGGGTGCTAAGACTCGAACCAAAGACCTTTGTTCAGAGGAGCAATTGCTCCAAACCACTACACTAGTGGGTCTTTTGCTCCATCTTCTATATAAATCCATGGCCTTTGGAAAATAAAAGAAAAGGAAAAAAGCACCTAACAATATGATCTTGAGATGAGCAGCATTATTGAATATAATCCATTCCTTTTATATTAAATTAATTGAGGAGTAAAGAGAGATTAGCACTAAAATTGTCTCACATGGCACTAAGTGAGTGGTAAAGGGTAGCATTGTCATTTCACAGTCAGGAGGCATGGTGTGTAAGCATGAAAAGGATGGATTAGTAAAGTAATTTGGCAAAAGGAAACATATTATTAAGGGACTGAATGATTGATACTGAACTGGGTATTAGTCAGTGGATGCAGTGGCAGATATGTAATATGCTACACAAAACAGGCCATGAACAAAACACGAGCCCCCTCCAATTAACAGAGAATGATGGTGTGTGAAGCCACATGAAGCTCTTTTCTTGTGGTTTGACCAAGTCCCAATCACCAGCGTGGCCAATCCAACACCAAAAATGACCCTGATCATCAAACGGAATTAACAATTAATCTTAATTAACCAATAATCTCATCATGTAATTTGAGATAGAGTGTGTGTGTGTGAGAGAGAGAGAGAGAGCATATATATATATACATACCAGGTGAAGATGAGGCAAGCCACAGAGAGTTGCTTATTAAGAGGAGCCTTTTGGAGCTCTTCTTGAGAGCAAATGCAATTGCATCCACCAATCAAGTTAGCAACAACATGGGCTGCAACCAAAAGTCCTGCTGCAGCTAATCCCAGCTTGAAAGCTGCATGGCTTGGTTCTCTGCACTCGAAAATCCATCGCCTCAAGTGCTTGACCTTGTTTTGTTCAAGCTCTGCTTCGATGCCCAGAATCCCACCTACGATGTCCATTGCCACGATCAAGAGGCACACCAAAAACCCTCCTAGTCTTGCCATTCTCTCTCTCTCTCTCTCTGAGCTGAGTTTGTTTGTAGATGATGAGCAGGAAGGGAGAAATATTCAATATGAATGGGGAGAAGAAAGAGTAAGGGGGAATATGTGTGAAAGGGTACGTAGGAAAGTATGTAGAATGGATCATTAGCTGGGAGAAGTGGATAAAAAAGCTTCTTTTGTCTACACAGTGCAAGCTTTATTTTGCTTTTGGGTCTTTTTTCTCTCCTTTATATTTTTTATTTGGTCTTGGATTCCATTGATGGGGGAGCAAGAAAAGAGGGGCATAAACCAGCTTATAGAGGAGCGTGCCTAAGCATCTTTTCTTACACCACCCATATACGCCCAAAGATGAATCGGTGGGTAATTCTCTGATGTTCAGAACCTTTTTGACTTTTCATGTCGAAGATATTTTTGAAACCATTGATTTGATTGTGCACCAATTATTAATGTATCCTGCTCAATGATTTTCTTTCCGCAAGCTTTAGAAATTTTGGTAACGTTTTCACACATCCTTAATTTTCGGACATCCATATCCTCCACAGTGAAGTGAGTTATAAATTCTCTGAGTTGGTGATTAGATTCTAGTACGGCATATATCTGGAATAATGAATCGTGATGGAGATAATTGAAGGTATTTAACAGAATTCGAATCAGAAGAGTAATTGGGCTTTTCGGGTGTGTGAATAGAGCAACGCTTTAATGTGGGCCTTTTCATGTATTGGCTTGTGACATGAGAATATGCAAACTCATGAGCAGAACATTCTTGAGTCTTGGCCTACTTTCATATTCGTCGGACCCAGATGTATTGGACCTCTTTATACTTGGGTTTCTCTACAGCAATGTAATATGGTGAGCTGAGATAAAAAACCTGCGAGTTCATATTACAATTCATGTGATTGCGGGGTTCAATCCAACCATCCGACCATTCAAAAGTTTAAGTTCAATATTTTCTCTCTTTTTGGATAGTGGGATTGAACTCCTCCACGACCCCCTCGTTATAGCATTTCCAGATTGAGAAATGCTAAAAGCAAAACTGATGAAATGGCATAGCTAGCAGACAAGCAGTCTGATGTTTTTGTGTGAGAGAGTATGAAAACAGAGAAAGTAAGGATTGTTTGGTTGTTTTGGGAAAAAGTAGAAAACAAAGTATCATGCATGAACAATGTCAGACTGCAAATATATAATTGATCACCCTTCCAAACCATAATAAAACATATAACAACGACTGATGATTGCTCAGCAAGCAAGAAATTAAAAGTATCGGCCTTTCAAACTGGAATTTCCCAGAATGTCATTTCATTTCAATTACAACTGTAAACAAAACAGTAGCTAATTAATACTCAAAATCAAACTCTCTTTTTTTTCTCTGTTTCTCTCTGTTTTTCTCTATTTCTCTCTGTTTCTCTCTGTTTCTCTCTGTTTTTCTCTGTTTCTAGCTATAGTTGCTTGCAACTCTGGTTACAATATTGTAATGACATATTTCCAACCCACACTCCGTCCCAAAAAGATCCCACTGACCACACTGACTACTTGATCAAAAAAGAAGGAGACAAATCAGACAAACTAATTAACAACTCAGAAATTAAGGAGAGCAGATCACCCAACTAAGCAGTAACTAGCAGTAGTGAAGATGGAGGTAATATCAATGAATTAGTTTGTGGGAGAGTGAGAATCGAAGAAGAGATGGGGATAGTAATGGCGGAGAAGATTGAGGGCTCTGGAGGACCTGCTGCGGTTGAGCTTAGCCAACTGCTCGACCGAAAAGACACAGCAGCCTTGAGAGTACATGACGGTCTGAGCCACAGGAGAGTTGAGCAACACCTGCAGAAGCTGGTTGCGGCTCAGCCTCTCGAGCCCACCAGTGGTACGGCTACTCATCGGTGAAAGATGATCATCATCAAAACCAGTAGCGCTTGCAGCAGCAGAGGTGTTGGGGGTGACGACGGGCATGGCTTGGAGGGCGGTGACCTGAGCCTGGAGGAACTTGACGTACTTGTAGGCCTCTTGGAAGACGGTGGCGGTGTCCATTTTTCTGTCTAAAGGAAGCAGTTTCTCAAGGCACCGAGTCTTGTCGCTGAGCTTCTGGCGCCGGCCGCGAGCCAGAGAGTTAGTGTGGGGAGATGGAGATGGAAATGGAGATGGAGATGGAGATGGAGATGGGGTTCCCCTTTTCCTAGTTCTAGGCTTAGCAGGAAATTTGTATGGTGAAGAAGACGAAGTGGGCAAGAGGGCGTTGTGGGTATTGTTGTTAGGTGGAAATAGCGGGAGGGGGGTAGAGAGATGGAGATTTTGGAAGTGAGGAGGGTCCAAGAGGCGAGGGCGTTTGTAAGATGAGGAAGAAGATGAAGAAGAGTAAGGGGAATTAAATGGGTCGAGAGGGAGGAGATCCGGTAAGTGATGGAAGATGGAAGAGCAGTCATTCATGGAGTCATAGGGAGAAGGGTGGTGGATGGGGGAGCTGGTAGCACTGGAAGCACTGTGCATGGTGAACTCCAAGTTGAGATCAGGTGGGTGGTTATAAAACTGGTATTGTTGTTGATGGAGATGATGAAATGGAGGAGAAGTGGAAACGTTGGTGTTGCTTGGGCTTGGGATTGGGAAGTAGTCTTCGTAATTGGAAATGGGTTCGTGCTTGGGCAGCCTCAGGATGGGGCTCTGCATCTGGGTCTGGATGTAGTCAACTTCTGCGGCGGTTCTGAAGTTGAAGGTGGTGGTGGGGGAGTGGATGGGAGTAGTAGTTATGAGGGTGTCTTGAGCGAATTCAGAGAAGGGAAGAGGCATTAGGGAGGAGGAGGACGACATTGCGTTTGGGTCGAGAGGGTCGTCGTGAGCGGCGGTGGTGGATAGGAAGGAGTGGAGGCTGACACCGGCGGAGGACAACATGGCGGTGAAGGTGGGAACCTCCTCCTCCTCCTCCTCCTCCTCTGCCTCCGCCTCCCAAGTGTTGGTTGTGTTGATTTCTTCTTGTGCTTTGGCCAACAATGACCTCATCAGCATCACCAACTCGCTATCTTCCATATTTCTCCTCTCTCTCTTTCTCTCTCTCTCTCTCTCTCTCTCTCTCCGTGTAAAAATGAATCTGCGAGCAGAGCAACAATATGAATTACATGATATGGATATGCGGATATATATCATAGTATATGAGTAGGTAAATAGTGTCAGGGACGTTAGGGGAGGGACACGTGGGGCTCGAGGATTGGCGATCGTAGCATTAAGGCGGCTGTGATGTCAGTGTCCGTACACAGCACAGGCGCAGCACGGGGGTACAGGTGTCGCTGCCTCTCCGCATTCTTTGTCGGTTTTTTTTTTTTTGTCTTTTTTGGGCAACATGGGATCACATTTCTTGCGACGGAAGGGAGAGAGCCAGCCCCCAAAAGGGCAATTGTTTGTTGCTTTTGGAGGCAAAAAGAAAGGGGTAATTTGGGAGTTTCAGACTCCCCAGACATTTTTCTGATGACTGCAGTGCGGGGGAGAAGGAAGGACGATGATGATAGGCGTGTCTTTTCTCACACTTGCAACAGGCCTACCTACCTATAAGCTTGTACTGTTCCATTAGACACCCCCNCCCCCCCCCCCCGAATTTACAAAATTGCCTCCTCTCAATTACTCAAGCAAAGCAAACCATATAATTTCATCATCTATATTGGTTAAGAGTGTTTATCCCCCTACACCCGAGATCTTATGCTCGATTCCCCTCTCCCCTAATAGTCATAATGCCCTTCTAATTTCCAAAATATGTCATTTTCCACATCGCACATATTATTCCACAACACCTCACACTTTGATCCCTCTGCCCTTTGCATAATTGCATTGCATCCTAATTTGGCTAATTAACAAATGCATAACAACTTAATTACTCGTGATTCATTCACCATGCTTTATTTAACTCTGATTAGATATAAGATAAAACAACTTTGACGTGAAGAGCAAGAGTTTCTTTTTAAGTATTTGCTTTGCACACCTCAGACCTTAAGTTATCAATAACAAAAATCCGAACTCCATTATTATTCAACTTGTCACTATCCCCTTTTTCTGCATACATAAACATTGCTCAGACTGTGTAAACGCTCACACGTTAGTTTTCCCACTGCCTTTTTTCCCCAGTTCATGTTAAAACCTTGAGAATTTAATATTTATTTATAAATAAATCAAAGCCAGCATGAGAATGCTTTCTTGTGAATTTCTATGTTGATATCAGAAATGGAGATGCAAAGTTTGCTTCACAAACCGCACAACCATTGGATTATATGCATAGGCCCCAACATTATAAAAAATGTGGTTGATAATTACAGGCCTCTCATATTAGAGGATAGAATTCCTGAAAGTCCAAATTGGGCTGAACTGAAATTAAAGACAAGCTGATGCCATGGACTACTCTCTTTTTTCCTTTCATTTCTTTCTAAAATTAGAAGAGGGAGAAAAAAAAAACAAATGTTCTACTGGCTACATAATGAATTACAAATTACAAAGATGAAGAACTGTACACAAGAATGAGAAAGCAGCGGAAGGAATCATGTTTTGGAATGATTACCCAACTCCCCCACATTAAAAGGGGCAGCTGTAAAAATAAAATCGAAAAATCATTCCGAAACAATTAACAAGAGTTAGCCACTAATCCCACTGCTGGTTCCTGACGCTTGCCAAAGCTTGCTTCACCGATCCCACATAGCCTGATATATCGCAGGTCTGTGCTTTAACCAGTGCACCATTTCCCTGTCCAACTGAGAATTATTCACAACGGCATCTAGCATCGGACTGCCAAAAACTTTCGGAGAACTATTGAAACACCATATTCGATCCTTGGGCCAAGATTTCTGGGGCTGCTTCTCCTGGAGAAGGAAACATTGAAATATATGAGTTATATGAGCTCCAAAAATAATAAAATAAGAAGCTCAACCGACAAGCAAAGAGAGTGTTTGTCTCAAACATCACAATAGTCAACTGACTCCTTCAAATCCAACGTCTCTGGGAAGTTTCCATTTCAAAATAAAAGAATTGTACAATGCAGCAACTACGTCAACACCAAACAATGTGTTTATTTTATGTCCAAATTTTTATTGAGGCATCTGGTATACAATTAAGTCAACTGATCAATTTGTGGCTTAAAACCTTATCAATCGAAGCAATATCTTCTGTAAATAACATAAACCATGAAACCTTGAACTGAATCCGTCTTTCCAGTTCATCTATTATCCACGCAAAAAGATAAAGAACTAGGTCTTGATCCCTAATGTAAGCCTTTACTAACTGGAAAACCACAAGTCTCTCGTACAGTTCATCACATCTGCATCACACGTACCCTTTATCAGCTTAATTTATCTCTATTTGTTGCTCTCATCTTTCCAAAGGCTCACCATATTATCATAGCTTTCTCCAAATCTACAAAAGATCATGCCGAGCTCTCTTTTTCTCTCTAGAATTTGGATTTCTGATGTAAACCAACCTCTAGAAAACATTTATACAAACAAATTCATCTGAATCATTTCTTCTGACAAGAGGATTTGGCTAGAAATATGGTATTCATTTTGAGAGACAATGGCATGTAAAAAGCTGGACACAAAGGACTCACAAACAATGTTAAGAGTGCAATGCATGATACTGTAAAGAACCTCAAGGCACCAAAAAGAAAAACGAAAAACTGTAACTCACCATACTCGTAAGCATAAATTTCACAGTCCTTGGGCCATAAACACGCTGCCGTGAAGGTTTCTGAACCTTGGCATAAAAGGACCCGAAGTCAGGTAATGACAAGCAGCCCCTACTTGCTCTAGCCAGGCTACAATCTGGCTCTGCACTTGTCTGGTTATACCAAAAAATCAGCTGCCCTAAACAATAATTCTCCCCATACGTCTTGCAATACTCTTGAAAACTCGATCCCAGTTTATCAGTGTACTTGGGGCCTAGGTCAAGTGGACTAATGTATACTGGTGGCGAAGTTACTGTTTTGTATTCCTGTAAGTAAAATGAAGTACGCTTCAGATTCAAATTAGCAGAATCATAAATCAATTAGAAAAATTTTCTAGAGGATCTCATTAAGAAGACATACCCGTATTCTAATGAAGCACCGTGTGTAAGCATAAATATGGATCAAGTCAGCAGCAGCATCGTGCCGAGACTTGTATGTACAGGGAAGATTCCGCACCTCATCTCTCAACCTTCCAAATAAACAATGAACTCCATAAAGTTGGCATCGTTTACAGAGTCAAAAGAAAGCATGAGAAAAATAACACAAGTATGTGCCACTCACCAAAGTAAAGATTTTTTAAGTTCATTCCATATGTCATCTGAACTTAATGGATCATGAGCAAGCATTTTGGTTTTGAGATCATTAAGCAAGTGCTCCTCCACATGAGGAGCCATGCTCTGAAGAAGCTCTTGAACAAGTGATCCTTCTCCCTTCCATAGAAAGGAAACAGCTGCTTCAGGACTCAACCTCTCCAGTGGAGGTGGAGCATTCTTTGGGTTGCCAAAAACGCATCGCATAACATATCTCACCTGTAGATATCATAACAGATCTTCTTAATGCAATAGAATTAAGAATTTTGACCTTTTAGTTATGACAGAGAATACGGACCTACCCACTAAGCCTCATAAGGTAATTAGTTTCCCAACACAACATTATAGGTGAAATTTAAGAATTAACAAAAAGAAATCCTAACAAAGAATTTAATTGATAATAATCAAATGTGTGTATCAGTTTGGGTTCAAAACATGAGATGTGATTTTTAGTGATAGGAATTGCAAGCGGAGCAAAACGGCCAAGTTCAAAATCTTCATATCATGCAACTTTCCTACAAGGAAGCAGTATAGTGAAGCCCACCCATAACAGCCTATACCAGTGTGTCATTATATCATGACAATGTGCTTGAGCACAACTCTCAGTACAAAAGGTATCCACTAAATTACTTTAACAAGTATTTAACAAAGTGATATAGAAACAAAAGGATGACAAGCTCCTTTATGAATTGGAAAAAGGCAATCACCTTATCAAGAGTAACAGCCAAATTCTGAAGCCTTTGGTTGTACACACCCTCAGCCTGTCACGCAAAAAGAAATAATAAGCAAGGGAATACCCAGGAAGGCATGATAACACCTACACACACACACACACACACACACACACACACACAGAGAAACAGATATTAGTCAACAACACTCACCTGAACCTCAGCATCACTCTTCTCAACCTCAAGACAAATATCTGAAAAATACTTCCTTTTTTCTTCCAAATTATGCTTTAAAATCTCCTCAGGAAGCTTTGTTCTTTCAAAATTTATAAACCTCACCTTCAACCAAAATGAAAGTGACAGGAGAGTAAATGACAGTTGATTTCAAAAATTACCAAAAACAAAAAATTGAGGAAGCAGGAAGGTCAAATACCAAGCGAGCCGAATATGCAATCACCCAATCTGGCAACCCACCCAGCAAACAACTGCCTAAACCAGCCCTTCCCAAGTCAAGATAATCCTCCTCAGATACTGAATTGGACTCGCAAGCTTCCAACATTAACTGATGACGATCAAGAATTCCATGCCAGTCCTTCAGCACCTGGTGAATGCACAACACTCCAGTTAATAGAAAATAAAATGACTTTAAAAGATAAAAGAGAAGAATACCAACAACACTTCAATGGCTCCCCTCAAGAGGAACCTGAGCCTCTAAGACTTGAGTACAGCAATTATTTTCTACTACCTTTTGAAAAGCTCCTTCGCCTGTCAAATTCAAGTAGCTTCCCCGGCAAACTTGGCTGCCACACAAACAAACTGATGCTTCGTATTCTTCCTTACTCTGTCAAAATATAGATTGGCACCAATTGTTACACACGTAGTCATGTAGATTGCAATCTAGTGTAAATGAGACCCATAGGCAAAAGAGGCATACCTCTGTAACAGAATTGTAGTCGAATGTGATCTCCTCCCCATATTGAATTCCTCGTACAGTGTAGATTCCAATCTGGTAACGACCATCTACAGCAGTAACTCTGTATTCAACAAACACTAGATGTTTATAGAACTAGAAGGAAAAGTTAAAACTAAAATAAAATCTTGCAATTCTAAAGCAAGAAATTAATTTGTACAAGTACTTCTGTCCAATATAAGACCAAAAGAGGCCTTTTTGTTATCAGCAAAAGGAAGCCTTCATAACACAGAATCAAGCCATATTTAACTCTCGCACTTCTTACGGCAGTGCTAAGCGGAAACAATAAATAAATAAAAGGAACCTGTTCTTTATTAAGTGTTGATACAATCATTCAAATTCCAGCAATAAAGATCTAACAGATTCATTTAAGCCTGTGTTATCCAGAATTGAATACTCAGGAAATAAATTTTCAGAAAAAGCCATGTTCTTACACAAAAACATGAAGTGCTCTTCACATCTTAAGTGCAAACTACAACAAAAAAATGTCAACTACAAGAAGCACAATGGTTCACAGGGATGTGATAATTTATATGTCAAAATATGCAAGGTGAATTTCAACCTGGCAAGAGAACAACATAACTTACTTTGCTTCACAATTAGGTCGGCATGAGTGACAAATTCTACTTGCGTAGTTTGCTTTATGCATAGCATCCACAACAACTAAATCATACCCATCGGCGTCACCCTGCAAAATAATTATGAATGATCAGATGTCCACAGAGGAAATAAAACTACATATGAAATTGTGCAAGTGAACAGCACCTTGGGCCTCTCAAGATAAATGTTGTAAAATTCAGGAGCTGGATCTTTATTATTTTTCTGCAAAGATCGAATCCCGTCTTGCTTCTCGAACCACTTCCAAACAGGATAAACCTGAAGTGTAGTAATTAGGAATCTCATTACCGAAATTGCAGTAACAATATATATATACACACATATATATACACTACTTTTCATGAGGGATTATAATCTGTATATCCATGTTATCGCCTTTAAAAGAAAAAATTGCAGTAAGGAGGGTATGAAATAAGGCAGCATGATAATAAACATGTGATTGTCGACAAGCCTCCCCACAAAATGATTAAACAACTGAGAAAACAACTCCATAAACAAATATGCAACCATACCTCCCCCAAAAATTCCACAACAAAATCTTCTTCTCCAAAACCACCTTCTTTGTTACAAACGACACCAAGCCCCTGACAACAATTAAAGAACATCAAATAGTCAACATACTAATGTCTTGGGTGAAATGCAGCAACTAACACATGAAAAAAGAAAGGGGGAAAGGGGAAAATAGCAAAAGGTTAACTTACTACAATAAATTGACGATATGGATTTACCTTTCTATAAGCAACATATTTGTCATCACGTCGACTGTCTATGGCTTTCAATATACCTTGACACATTTTCATAGTTCGCGCATCACCATTCTCCTCAGCAGCATTAAGGATTTCTTCAACAACAGGGCGCAGAGGATATATCATAGGCGTATTTCCACTCCCAGTGTACTGCCTAACTTGCTTATTCAATGTGCAGAGGAGCACATCTTCAATAAACAAATGCTTCTCCGAAAGAGGCCAATCCAACTCCTCTGGCATGGAATCCAGTAAAAGGTTGTGACTATAGGGATCAATTCCGTAAACTTCTTGCTCTATAACTTCATCTCCAAGCATTTTCCTTGGCTTGTAATCCTTTACTTCAGGGAGCTCCATATCAGCCTCCTCAATTCCATTCTTCTGAGAATCAAACTTCTCAACATAGTCATCTGGTAAAGAAACCTGCATTTTCCGCCTCACATCCTCCTCATTGGATACAATAACATATTCCTCAATGACTTCATATTTCCTCGTAACAGGAGGAACCAAGCTTGATTTTGTCATGCGAGCACCCCACTCACGATCATCAGTCATAGAATCGAAACCCTCATCAGATGTAAAGCTTCCATCTGCTCTTGACTGCCCAGTTTGACTTTGTGACCTCAATTCCAAGTCACTTTCTGTATCTGAGGCAGTACTCTCACTATTGCTCTTGCTACCTCCAGAAGAGCTGTCAAGATCATCAGAGGTTTCACTTTCTGAATCCATAGATTTTTTATTCAATCTGGATAAACGCCTTCTGATTTCTCGATCAGATGCATATTCTCCATAATCCAGACCACCATTCAAAAAGGAAGTACCATTACTCCTATTCGAATACTTCTTTTCAGTTGCTACTTTATTCATCTTCTTTTTATACTTGGAGGCAGAAGAGAACCCTGAAAACCTATCATCTTCCCATGACTTGATCAACTCATCTCTTTCATGAGAAGATTTAGAAGCACCTTCTAAACGAGTGGCAAGTTGAATGAATAATGTTATAACGTGATTCATGTCTCCAGCATCACCCCGATTCTTTGCTCTGCACACAATAAACAATATAAGAGAGAGAGAGAGAGAGAGAGAGGTTCACATTGGTACTAGAAAAAGGTTCTGATTATTATACATGATCAAGGATTACCCATACAAGCCAAAAATGAAAAAGAACTTACTTTATTGCATCCCTGCACATTCGACTGATATCTTCCTTGACAGAACTCAATCCTCGGCGAATGTAATGACCATTTCTCATTCTATCCTGAATTTCTGCAACCTGGTAAAGAAAAAGTAACAACAAAGTTTCAGAACACATTTATATTATAATATATAATAAAATGATGAACACAAATAAAACAAAAAGAAAAAGAAAACAAAGAAAGAAAAAAACTACCAAAAAGAGCATCTCAAATACGAAAATAAAGAAGGCAAATGACAACCAGTACCTTGGGGACAAAAAAATCAAAGGTATTCTCTTTCATAATATCCTTCAGACTTGAAGCAACAAATTCCTCCATCTTCTTGTAACCATGTTCAGATTTCTTAATGGATAATCGCCTCATGCGAGCATCCCTAGACAGAATGGATGAGGACCGTCTAGCATCAAACAGTTTTGAGCGTTTGTATAAACTTCCCCGGAATGATTGATTTGCTGTCTCCCTCTTATCCACACTATCAAAGTACTCTTTCAGTTCACTAAAATCATCCATATCATTACCTAGAACCTTACTTTTGGAAACAGATGAAGATTTCTCAGTGATGTGTTTCAGACTCCTTAGTTTCGAATGGGATTCCTCAAATATCTTTGTACCATGTGAACTTCGGGTCTTGATCCAGTTTAGATTCTGAAATTTACTAACCAACTCACCAAACTGGTTGCAACCTCTGATATCTACGGTAGATAAACAAGGAAGTGCACCAAGAATCTCTTCAAGTGTGTGGGGAGTGATGTTGGTGCAACCAATTAGAACCATAGAATTAATCTTTTCTTTTCCATAACCACTCTGCAACCAAACAATTAGATTAAACTTAAGAGGACGTAAATAAATTTCCTACTTTTCTGTAGGTGCCAAAAAATAGTAAAACCTACCATAATGTTCACAATCATGGAATCAGTGCAGCTAGGGCCCAAGGATGACATGTCAACCTGTCTGGAAATATCCTTGTAAAACCTGATGGCAGCTCTCCAGTGCTTACAGGTTAAAGAAGCAAAGGCAAGAGATTTCATGTCTAGTCTCAAGAAATGGAAGACTCGTGCCAGCACTTGCCCATCCAATAAACCCCAGCTTCCCATCTCTGAGCCATAACTCACACTCTCTTCTTTGTTGAAAGAAGTATCACCACATAAATCCTCAAATGTAGATTCATCCTTTGCTACTGTTTGCAAGTCCTCTCCCAGGTCATATTCTTCTTCACTTTCATCAACCAGCAACCTGGCTCTTTTGGCAATACGTGCATCACCATCTGCAGTAACCCCCAAATAGATTAATGACGGACACCAAAGTTCAAGGTGAAAGGAAATCAAACACATCATATGTATAGATATGACATGGGAAAATGATGAGCAGAGCACCAAAATATGATTTAAAAGTAAAATAAATAAAATATCGCATAATGTCCTGAAAAAACAAAATTGAGCTGAAAACAAATGAGGGGTAATGGAGATTCAAATTGACCAGATCATACCTGCTTTCCAATACATGTGCTTCTCCAACTCTTTTTTGGGCTGCTTTGCATTAAGCCATGGGTCTAAAACATCATTTATGGCGGCAGCGAACTCCCGGCTTTTGTAAGATTTCATCACCAATTCATGAAGCTTTCCACAGGTATAGCCAATGAACTGAGGGTGCAGGTTGTGGAACCAACTCAACTTTGTGTTTAATTCGTCAAATACAGCACTTTGAGATTGTGAAGGAGCTAGCCCTGAAGTATCGCTAGATATTATGTTCTTCTCCTGCTGATTCATATCAGTAGCTTCAGAAGTCTCTGCGGCAGAACTAACTGGAACCCAGACTTTATCAAATTTCCGGAAAACACTGCTATGATTTAGGATCACTCCTTGATCAACCAAGACCTGTAGCTCAGAAAATGATGAAGGTCCTCGTTCATGCCCAGCACCATCAAGGTAGTACCAGTCACCCAAATGCAACTGCAAGTCATCAACTGTGCAAACACGGTCTTTGTTGATGTTAATGGAGGTAATGCATTTCGAAGAGCCTTGTGAACCTCGGTCGCTAACTGGTTTCAACTGAGAATCACCTTCTCCCGATGATCTCTTCCCATCACTGCCGGCAGAATATGACCGAGCAGACCTTGACGTATACCTCTCCATTCCCCGAACTTTCATGCGAGGCTCAGAAACAAATGAACCATGGTCTTTAACAACACAAGCATTTATCCTGACTACTGGAAGCATAGTTCCTTTTACTCCTTTTATGACAGTAGTCTTAATTTGAGTCGTTCTGCCCACACCACTACAATCACTCATCTCATCTGGACATGAAAAAGCCCAACTAGGTAGATCAAGCCTTCTGCTCTGTGAAGGATAATACAATTCATCTTTTCGATGCCATCGAGGATCTTCATACCCAGACTTTGGCATCTGGCATAATGGGAAACCATCATTGACAACAAGTTTCTTCCTAGAAGACCTCTCTTGTGAAGCTTCATCATTCCTCTTCCAATCACCACCCTTGCATGACCATCGACCAGAGAACCAGTCACCAGAATCACCACAAGAAAAACCAGTGTCCTTGTCAGAGGGTGCAGTCAACCTGATTTCTGCAGCTTCTTTTATTTTAATGTCAGAATATCCTGGTTCCTCCGTTTTCTGATCATACTGTTCACCATCATGACCTTGAGTGAAGCCTGTAAATTCCAAGAGTTGCATAAGTTAACACTTGTATTTCTCATAATCTTTTCAACTCTAAGGCTGTAAATATTATGTTCCAAATACAATTACATCAGTTTCACGTCCTATTTAGATTTCACATTCTACTTCGTCAGAACATCAACTTGATGTTCTATTTAACTCTCACATTCTAAGGAGTGTCAGAGCTGATTCAAAAATCAACAAAAAGAAGAGGATAAACAAGCAAGCAAACAATTATTCGGAAAAAAAACACTTGAGGAACCAATAAGTACCTTCTGTGTTTCCCCATCCCTCTCGTTGTGCATGTTCAAATGACATTTGCAAAACCTCTGCAAAACGACAAAAACTTAAAAACATGACAAAAACGAAGAAATCTCCACACAAAAATATAAATGACATAAAGAGTATAACATGTGACAACAAAACACAATTTATCAAATATCAATTAAAGGTGTAACCGGAAAAGAAAATATTAATTAAAGGTTTTAAAAATAATAATAACAATAATAATTAGATGAAACATACCTCCAACAGCTTCAAGCTCCCTGCCAGGAATAACTGTTAAACCCTCCATCAGAGCTCCAACCCTTTCTTCAATGTGGAGATCTTTTAAAGGCTCAGAAGCAGTTATACCAACATCTGCACAGAATCCTGGCGGCAGCAAAGTGATTGCTGCCTCCTTTCCACTCTGAGTATCATATTGCCCAGTATCTCCAGTATCCGCCAATAGATTACCAGAAGCTTCTGGAGGGCTTACTAGTCGAGTTATAGAGTCTGATACAATGGATGGGAAATTTACAGTTACCAGTGGTGAAACTGCATTTTCAACAGTTACCCACCTATCACTATCCGAGTGCTTGACCATGTGATCAGACATCAGAGCTCCTTCTTCAACAAGTGTTTTAAGTTCACATAACTTTGAAGGCCCACGTTCCACACCATAATAATCGAGGTAAAACCATTTCCCTGTGGATGAATCAGTAACCACTGGGACATGTGGTGGCGTGTCACATATATCCATATCTTCTTCCATAGAAGGCAGCTCTTCAGGAGGGGCTACACTGATTTGAGAAGTTTCTTTGCAATTTACACTTGGAATTTGAGACGGCTCTTCTTTGTGAGATTCACAGTTCGCATTTGTCTCCACAGATCCATTAATGTCAGGCACAGTGCTTCTATCTTGAGATTCTTTAGTGGACGAATATGAGTCTTTTCCACTGGGATCCTTCTGCACCAGCTTATCTTCTTGCCCTCTCTTACCATAATGGGAGCTCCGCCTTTCAGTTGCTCCACTTTTCCGACTTGTCTCCCGATGATTATTAGGCCTACTCCGATCATGTGGGGACCGCTCCAAATAGTTTGGAGAGTGATCCCTGCGGTCATGCAATCGAGGTCGATCTTGTGGAGACAGACTGCGGTTTCTATGATCATACTGACGACTCCTATCATATGGAGATCTTTCCTGACCAAGTGGAGATCTCTCACGACCATATGGTGATCTCTCACGTCCATATGGTGATCTCTCACGACCATATGGTGATTTCTCACGACCATATGGGGACCTCTCATGGACATATGGAGATCTTTCCCGGCGCATTGGACTCCTATCCCGGTGATCATAATACCGGACCCGGTCACGTGGGGACCGCTCAGAATGACCTGGACTTCTCCCATGCCTGTCATAAACCACTCTGGAAGACAAAGTAGATTCATAATGCCTGGAGGGGTATTTGTCTGCTGCAACTCTTGACGAAGAAGGATTCCGATAAGACCTCTCCACAGAACGGCGTGAATAATGCTCAGGGTGGGCGGAGCGATTGGTGTCATCAGAAAGCCTGCGACTTTTTGCACCTGGATAATCCCCATAGTCTCCATAGTGCTTGCGCTCACTGATACTTGAATCGGTACCATACCTTTTTAACCGATTAACAGGAGGGTACTCCCTTGGGTAGTACTTACCATTGCTGTACTCATTTTTGTACACCCCGTCCTCGTCAACAATTTTTGAACTGATCCTTATATTCCTCTCTGAACCAGTCTCCCACCTGGCAGTACTCTTGCTCTGCTGACTTCCACTTCTATTAAATTCTTTCCTTCTAAAAGCATCATCGTTTGAATACTTCCCAGAAGGTGGCGTCCTCTCACGCTCAAATTTCCAGCCTTTATCCTTACCCATATCATACCTACGCATTTTACTGTGACCGTAGTCATCTCTGGCCACTTCCCCTTTCTGCCATCTATCTGGAATGAACTCACCTTTCTCAATTTCATCCTTGGGTGGTCTCCACGACCCGAATTCAGTTTCCCCTTTTCTGGTCCTCTCTGGAACTATCTCTCCTTTCTCTATGTCCCCTCTTCGCCATTTCCCAGAAAAGGAATCTCCTTTCTCCACCTCACTTCTCCTCCATTTCTCACCGACAATCTCTCCCTTCTCAATCTCAATTCTTCTCGATTTCTCTGGCACGAATTCACCATTCTCCACTTCCACTTTGGGCCACTTCAAAGTCCCCAATTCACCCTCTTCCACTTCCTCCTTCTTATCCTCAGCATTTTCACCATTCTCAGCTTCTTTTGAAACACTGTTACCACCTTTATCCAATCCCAATTCGCTTCCTTCAGATTCTACGTTCTTTGAAAACCCGGGCTTCTTGACGACTTTCTTCTTGGGCTTCATTACCTTCACTATCTTCTTCTTCTTAACCGGCTTGGAATTGAAGCCATTGTTAGCAGTCTTGCCTCCGCAAATCGTAGTCTTGTCCTGAATTGGAAACCTGTCCATGATATTATGCTGCAAAGGCATGCATGCGACGCCTCCATCGCCCATGGAAATCCCAACCCTCTTCTCCGAATCCCAAAACCCTAATTGTCCCCTTCTCCGGGGCTCTCGATGCTCATACTGCAATTCGCTTCAACTGTCTTCCTCTGTCGAATCCTCGCTCCAATTGAAAACCCTATTTCCACAAATTCAACAAACAAATCAATACAAACCCAATGTAGGGTTTCAATGTCAAATACACGCATGCATAAATCCTGAAAAATGAAGCATAAAAACCTTGAATTCAATAAGCTTCGAAAATCAAAACCCTAACCCATGAAGTTAAAAAAGATAATTGAAATCGTAAGGAGGAAAATTACGAGTTACCCAGAAAATTTTGACGAGCTGAGTGAATAGATCGGCGCGAAAAATCTAGCTGGCGAAGCGAAACAACGTGTGAAAAAGAGAGACTTGACGAAGACAGATCGATAAACAGCGAGAATTGAAAGCTCCAAGATGAATCTCTCTGTGAGAAAATCTCTCTCTCTCTCTCTCTCTCTCTCAGAGTTTGTGTGTGTCTCTCTGTTCGTTCCTCTCTTGTTGTTGCTGTTCTTGTTGGTCTGAAAGACGAAACCTCCGTGTTGTTATATTTTGTTTCTTTTTCTTTTTTTTTTCTTTATTTCCGATCTTTGCCCCTTGGGCTTGTGTTACGATTGTGTGAGTCGTGGGGTACGTTGAGCAAATTACCAGAATATCCTTGGGGTCTTAGTCTACGTAAAAACCGATTCGTTAACAAGTTACTATAACTTAAGAGACCGGCCATCAGTTTAACCGACTCCAGTTTCATAAAATAAATTTAAAATAAAAAATTTAACCGCCTCCAATAGTTTCACTAGCAGAAGAGACTTGCATTATGACTTACAATTTACAAATTACAATGGTGAAAATTATGGCTCCACTCCACCTATTTAAAAATAAATACTAAATACGAAAGGGGTCTAATCAAGTAGAAAAGTATTTTGACTTGCAGATTTGAGGTCTCAGGTTTCAATCCCATGACATCTTAAACTATCGCTTGTACTAAAAATATAATAATAATAATAATAATAATAATAAATAAAGGTTCATACAATATAAAACATTGTTAAATAAATTTCATACATGTCATTTGCACACTGACTCAAAATACATAGATAATGAGAAGTGGACTTTTTTTATAATAAAAAAAAATACGGCAACTTTATTGAAAGAAACTTAATTGAAATTACAATTCTTCTTAAGCAATATATTCTAATTAAAAATTAAATGGTTCTTCAAACCAAACACATTAAAATTACTAACAATGCATAGCATGTTCGAAACGAAAATCTTTTGTGCATCACAATCATAAAAATCCGCCCCAACCAAGACAAATCAAATATATGGACTAACTAGCATTCACAATTTTGAGATGTGGTTAATTTTCTATACATTGACTTAGTTTTTTTAATTTACTAATAAGAAAAAGAGGATTTGGATTTGAGACTTATTTTTAAAGTAGAAGAAAAAAAATCAATATTCATAAATAAAAAGAATACAAATAAACTTGTTAGTACTTTATTCAAATATGTTAAAGAACTTATGAGAAGAGAATCACCTTCACATATATATTGCAAAATTACTTTAAAATCGTTGTATTGATTTGTGCTGATTACTACATTAAATTAGTGCTGGGCCCCACCTTGTATAAGGTATTTTGTATAGTAGTAGATGTGAAGGGTGTAATTGTCATTTTAAGTTGATGATGGGGTCCTTGTGATGATAGAAATTATAGAAAATAAGCGAGGGTTATTTTGGTAAACATGGTTTTGGCGCTCAACTCAACTTGAGCGAAATAATTTAGGAGGGGAGGGAGAGAAGGGTTTTGCCTTGCAGATGCAAAATATGCAGGCGGAGGGACTCCCAAAGTCATCGCGGTTTTGAGGCTTTGAGATACTCAAATCAAATCCACCTACGACTTTATATTAAAATGGTCGTGTGTCCAAAATTCCTGGAATTGGTCAAAGTGTTCCAAGTTTGGATTTGGACTCAATTGAAGCCCAACAAATTTAACTAGCTCCCCAAAATTTTATTTTTATTTTTAATTTGGGTCAACTAGCATGGGCTTTGGAGATGGGGATGGAGATGTTGAGGGGTGTGTTGAGGATTTCAATCTAGTCGTCTGAACTCGTTGATCGGATCGGTATTAAGGACTCTCTTATTCTAACCCGTCTTTACGGCTTCTCTATTGGGGACTATGTTGCACCGATACGGATACGGGTACGGCGATACGATACGATACGATACGCCGATACGGCAAATCTCCAAAAAGTAGGATACGGGTACGGCACCGATACGGCGATTAAAATAATATATATTAAAAAATATATATAAATAGAAAAATTGAAAATTGATATTTCATCCATAATAAGTTCAAAACATTAACAAAACACATATTATTACTATTATTATTCTCCTCATGCTCCCCATTATTATTACCAGCATTCCCATCACTAGAACTATTACCTACACTACTCATTTCCTGTAAATCAAATTATATACCCAAATCACTTCACAAACTAATTAAATTATATACACAAATCAACAACAATTCCAACCACACAAAACTTATTAAATAATATAGTAAATAAACAACCCACTGGCCGTAGCTTTCTAAAAAGAAAGGAGAACCAAATAAAGTCAACAACAATTCCAACCACACAACTTATTAAATTATATACCCAAGTTCCAAACCCATATAAGAACAACAGCAGATTATTCAAAGAAAGAAGAAGAAACCTTGAGCTGCGTATGAATCTGAGTAGCGAACGATAAAGCTGCTGCAACGGCGCTGGTTGCTACAGCTAGGTGCGACGAGGTGAGAACTTCTTCCCTTCCTTTTTCCTTCTTCCTCCTTCCTCCTTCCTCCTTCCTCCTTCTGTTTGGTTGGCTTGGCGTCTGTCTGAATGAAAGTCCAAGACCTAGCCTATCTCTTGACATAAGCAATCTGAAATTCTATGTTTTATTTTTACATTTTAACCCCAAATACTAAATAACTTTCAAAATCAACCCCAAAGTTTCCAAATACTTTCGTTTTTACCCCCAGACGTATCGGTGCCGTATCATGACCGTATCGTGACCGTATCAAGGACGTATCGAGGACGTATCGGAAAGTCAACTTTTAAGAAAAGTCTACGATACGCCACGTGGCGTATCGGATACGTATCGGTGCCGTATCGGAGCCGTATCATATCGGCGCCGTATCGGATACTCGCATACCCCCAAAAAGTGGCGTATCGGTGCAACATAGATTGGGGATGATGGTAAAATAATGACAAGTGAAGAGGATTAAAAACAAGATGCACTGTTTTTACAGTTACAAAGGCTTTGGTTATAATAGGATAAAAAGAAATCATTATATTATAGCTCTAGAAAAAAGAGGAGAGAAGAAAATGATCTCATACTTACAATTTTTTACTTCTGCAATGATTATGTACTACACGTGGAGGAGATTGTTCTCTCTGTCTCTCTCAATGATTTCTAGCTATATGGTACACTTGGAGATCATTCATTTGAGCAAATCAACAGCCGTAATTGTGAAGATTTCAAATTATTATTTTAATTGAATGGTTGAGATTAAATTAATATTTTCCACATCAAAAACCAAATGTACATCTTTCTTTTTGGGTAAATACCACGAGATGTCCCCACATCTGGAGGGTGAGACTAATCCCAGCTCGGGATTTGACTTACCCCTAACCACAAAGTGCTTCCAATTGATTTCAAATCACTGCCAGTTAAGCACCAGTCAGTCCGCCAACTGGAAGTAGCAGTTTTCCAACCGCACCACACCTTGTGGTTCAATGTACATCTTTCAATTGCCCTAAAAATGTGTTTATATTCATTGGAAATGGCAGACAAGGGCTTAGCCAAGTCGGGTCTCCATTTTATACCTGAGTTCGAATCCTCCTCTTCCGTAATTTATATTAGATTAATATTGAATGTAGTTTGTATAAATAAAAAATATATATATCCATTGAAAATGCAATTGAGGATATGTAAAAGTGACTTTACATTCCATACTTTACACCTAAACATTGAAGATGCTCCAAAGTCGATATTGTCTAAATTATCTCCAACAATATTCTGTATCAAGAATGAAGTTTGAATTCTTGCCCAAGCCCAAAGTCTCTCCAACAATCTAGTCTAAGTCCAGAAGGAAAACACAGACAGAAAGCTTATAGTACCACACCACATCAAATCAAGCTGATTGAAAGCCTTTTAGTTTGGATGGATGCTGACAATGGACATCAGTGGAGACCATGGTCTTCAATTTCATAATTAGGGAACTTTCAAGTTTTAGCCTTTTAAATAAACTACCTGCCAATTTCCTTTGACAAAAACGTACGGATTGCCCATATGAATGAACCACCCAAAACACAATAAAAAAAAGAGACATTAAAAAGAGAGAGTGGGGGGAGAGCCTGTCAGACAACCGATACGACCACCCCAGCCAGTTACCCAGCTGAGAACGATCCTCTACGGCTATTTGGTTCCAAGGAACCAGAAGCTGTTAATCACGCTCTGATCGTACGGTCTTGATTCATCCACCAGGTTGGGATTCCTGTCTCCTTAGAAATCAAGGATACAGAGGTACGATCCTATAGAACAGATCCTGTCCAAGTAAGGTCGTGCCCTTTCTTCACATGCTGAGCTATATAAACTTGTACAGTATTCTCTATATTCTCGATGTGGGACTCTCAACACTGAGACTTTGTCTTATTTTTGTGTTGATTTCCGTGGCATACAAATGCCTGCCGTTGATTTCGTAGCATCAGTACGTTTCGTTTTCATTGCTTTCACAAATCTTTGTAGTGAACCCTCAAATCAAAGGCATTACACATAGTTTTATCAACAAGTCCTTATTGTGTTTCTACTTCACACTCATCACCCGAAACCCCACTATCACAACATCTCACCCTTTTTACATTTTCTTCTTATTCAAGTTTGGTGCTGCATTCATGCCGCCGCGACCTTCAGACTCCGAAACAAGTCCATGCTCGTTCGTTCCTCGTCTCAACTGGGTTCAAAGCTGTTTCTGTTTTTTAAAAGTTAACTACTTTCTATGCCTAATGGTTGTGGTAAAATTTGTACCCAAGCAAGAACTAATGCACACCTACAATTCGGATCGATTCATTCGCTGAACATAGTAAAAAACTGATCAGAGCATGATTTTGCCGGAAGGATTAGGTGGTGTTCTCAGAGGAAAGTAAAGACACACCAAGGCACCAACCATTTTCAAAGACACATTTGGTTAAAGAGGCCAGTACAAATTGAGTGCTTCACTTTACAATATATTGCTTATTTATAAATAAGTAGAGCTAGACTCCACAAAACAATTCCTAATGGAAACAAAAAGCAATTCCAACATAACACAAAGAAACAAACAGACAGCGCCCAAACCACAAATGCACAGCAACTTAGAAAAACTGCATTCCAGTAAGCATAACCCAGATCTGGATCCCGAGTACGTTTCAGTCTAATACAATTATAATGACATGAACTTAACAAAACCCATTAGATTAATCCAATCTCCAATGGTTAATTTTTTTTTTATAAATACGTGTAAATGCGTTGATGTTAAATGGAGAGAGACTCTGATCCTTTTAGACCCTTCTCTTCCTCACCACCACTCTAGTAAAGTCTTAATAATTCAATATAAGAATTCCCAACACCAAAAGAAAAAAGAGAAAAAGAGAAAAAGAGAAAAAGAGAAAAATATAAGGGGAGAGGAGTTAATCTCAGTCTGTATAAGCTAGTTCTCAAATTCTGCACAGTACATGAAAATTCCAAATAAAATACCATCCTCTTAACTTACATAATAATTACAACAAAAGAAAACAGTAAAAGTAAAACTGATCCAGACTCTGTATATGTTCATGAAGGGGGTTGCCGCAAACTCATCAGAACATGAAGGGGGTTGCTGCAAACGCTGCAGGTACGAACACAGACACATTGTTTCCCCTGAAATTACACAAAATTTCCACACACAAAAATATTATAAATAAAAAAACCAACCAGAAATTAAACTGAAAACCAATTAATTACAATAAATAAATTATAATAATTACCCGGAGAGCTCGTCGTGACTAATGGAACTGAGGCTTCGAGCCTTGGCCTTACGTCCTTTCTTGGATGATATCTTCTCAGACTGAGCCTTAACCTCGTGACCAGAAGCAACCCCATCCTCTGAGATTGCAACAAGAGCTGGCCTCCATTGTTGAGCAGACTCTGCAGACTTCGATCTTCTCACACGGCTTCTGATCATCTCATGATCTTGAGTTTGCTTCGACGACGACGACGAACGGTAACACGACCCCAACTCCAACAGGAACTTCATGGTTGATCTGCTGCTTTGGTTTGGTCTGGTATGTATATCTTCTCCACACAAAAAAACTATGTGCTAGCTATAGCCTATAGCTCATGGTTTGGTTTGGCGTAAGTAGAATTAACGTGAGAACGAAGGTTTGTTGCTTTTGGTTGGTTTTAACTTTTAGGTTAGGCATCTATTTATAGGGATGAATTAGGATTTATGACGCTGACGTGGAGTGTCTTCTTTTCTAAATCCCTTATTAATGTTAATCTGTAATCTAATTAATCCTAAGTAACGTTTAGTAATTAAAATGGCAGTTTTGTTTAGTTTCCTATGGGTCCATAATTTGGCAGGTTATCGTAACCTAATCCATTATCCAAATATTATCGGATCTTAGCCAAATAATATCCCGCAAAGTAAAGTTAGATATTATGTTCACAAGATTTATTGTTTTTATTTGTTCTCTTTTTCTATATTTGATTAAATATACGTTCATTTTCTTTTTATACAAGCGATATGAGAGACTTCGAATGCAGATAACTACAAACCCTTGCGATTTAATACACATTCATGAATCTCTAGTCTCACCTTTTTTTTCCCATGCCTACATGACATGAATGGTCCTTTTTTCTTTTTCCCTAGATTCTTCCTCATCTTTGAGATTTGAACTACTTACAATATTATTAGAATAAAATGACTCAAACACCACTAATCTGAGAACCAAAATACTTAATTTTATAATGATATTTTCCTAATCTAGTGAACTCCCAAAAGAATCAAAGTTCTTGCGACCACCTAACTCAAATCACAAAATATTAAATTGTTGTTAGGCCCCATTATGCAAATTGAAGTCTTGTTGGTCCACTGAGTAGCTGGCCTGGGTCTTCATATGTACTGGCACAATTTAAGGCCGAACATAGAGGTGGAAGAAGAAGAAGAAGAATCTAGATTATAAATCCCACCATAAAAAGAAAATATAAAAAGAAAATAAAAACAATTTAAAAGAGGCCGCACTAGGGAAATACCGACACTTCTCCACCACAAAATGTTACACTTACAGGGAAATTTATAGTTTTTACTGATCATCACATCAATCAAAGATCTTCTTCCAAACCACAATCAAACCCCCAATGAAAATGAAAACGAAAAGGCCATGGCGGCCCCAATTCCATCTTATCTTACCTTGTTATGTAATCCCTATCTTATCTTAGGGGAAAAGTATATATAAAAGAACTTGGGCTTTTCAAAAACAAACACAACCCAGAATGGGGTTTGCCCCAATGGGCTCATCCTACAATGGTGCTGGCTGCATGGGCTGGAGCTTCGATAGGAGATCGATCGCTTAGCACTAACATGCATGCTCGTGTTCGGTGTGATCGTCCGTCAAATCGTCACATGGTGTTATTTTATTAATACTATATTAAGCAGTGACATTTCTCAAGCTTTGATCACCTCACGTGCATTAACCAATAAACTAAGTCGATAACATATCAAATCATAACTCTGTGGCTTTTGAAGTTTGTTGGTATCAGGCAAACATTTTTAAAAAATTTGATTGATTGATGTCAGGACTAAAGGTTGGGTGAAATCTACAATGCTTATAGATCATTTTTTATTTCAAATCAAGCGACCAAATTTTCCTAGTTGTTGTTTTGACGTGGCATAAAATGCTGTCTTACCCTACTGAATTGTCTTTCAGGGCACACATACATTTCCATCACCTTCAATTGCTCCACTAGAAACAAAATAGAGTTCGAGAGTTCTCGGTCTTGTTTTCTTCATGGCTCTCTTATGTTTGGATGGGATTGGAGAAGAAATATAATTAACCTCCATGAGATCAAGATAATAATGAAGCTCCCCAGCTAGAGATTATCCACAAATTCAGCTAACACCCACTTAGTTTAAACTAAAAAGCATAATTATCTTTTACGTAAGCAATATTAAGAAAGAGGAGATTCAAACACAGGATCTCGGTTGCATGAATAATAACTAGATTGTGCAGGGATGTATTCATTGAGAGACGACATGGCTTGAGCACCGTACATTACACAGAAGACAATTTCCTTTTCCCTTGTGAATGCAAAATCTAAATCACAAGATATTTTTTCGGATCGTCTAAGTAAAGTGAGAGTGACATGTCTCTTATGTGCAGCAGGCTAGGCAAACAAAGCAAAAGCTACAACTTTTCAGTAACAAATTATTCCGGAGAAAAATATGTATATGTTTCTGACATTCATGAATCGTATATATGATGCTTCAAATCAGAATTGAAATAACTACTTTTTCTCTTTTTGTACTTTTCTTACAGCCTTTTGATTTTCCTCGAAATGCAATAATATAAAGGTCAGAGCCAATAATACATACTGTATATATATATCATAATTATTGGTATATAATTACTGAATTTCTTTGGCTGTTTCCAGTCTTTGAGATGTTGATATCAAATAAATGTGCAAATTATGCCAATCTTTTCAGGAATTGAACTTTTTAACTTGGAAATTAACACTTCATATATATTCACGGAAGAATTTTGACCTAAGTTTCAGTCTTAATTTATAGTCTGATAACGTAAGAAGCCGGGAACTATATCTCTAGTAAGATAAATGAAATTACTCTTTACTTCAACACAACACTTAGTTAATTGAAGTCTCATCTCATGTATTGACTTTATACAAACACATGAAAAACGACCCGACTGGAGATGGGTAGTTTCTAGTTATATATAATCCTTTTTTTTTTAGTATTTTCTAGGATTTCCGTCTCCATGCAAACACTGCAAAAGACAAATTAACCTATTTCATTCCATATATATATATATATAAAGCCTGTTTAATTTGTTGCACCTTCCCCCGGTGCAGCTTCGTTTACTCAAAACAATGATTGAGGAAGAATTCTTCTTTTTTTCTGCTTTTCCCTTTTAAAATAATCAAACATTAATTCACAAAGGTTTTTATGTGCCAATATTCCATGGTCTTTAACCCCATATGGAACTGACATGTTTGTGAGATGACCACATTTGTCCTCGTGGGAAGAGGTCTAATTTGTCTTTTCCTGTGGCTTCACGTGGCACAAGAAACCAAGTGCAAAGGATGGGTAACCATCACAAAACTCAAAGGGAAATCCATGCTGATTAAATTAGTGTTGTGGTTTTGTCTTAAATCGTATTGCATGAGTGCAAATTCGACAAAACACTGGCCGGCGAAGACAGCTTCTTTAACCTACCCTTTACTCTCTTCAACACCTCCCACAATTGCTAGTCTCTTAGATAATGAGAGGTGCTAAGTAATTAGCAATATGCCAAATTTGCTTGGAGCTAGCCTTAGCTGAGCTCCGTCTATGAGAATTGAAGTGCTAGATTCTTCTAGTCTGAGTACTGGGAATTGAGTAAAAAAATAAGAACAAAAGAACAACGCAATTTTGAATATTCAAATGGGTTTACTTGGTTTTTAATGGTGTTAATTAACGATATCAATGATTTACGATGTGTATCGCTTTACCTCATCTCATATGTTTTGCTATCATAAATTTTCATTAACTAATTAACACATTCGAATTTGATACATCTTTCAATGAAGTGTAACAAAATATCAGTAGACGAAAACATAGTTAATGACATTACCATGTTGATACCTATAGTTCTTACTTAGAGACCTCCCCATCACTCTATATTACTTCATGGGTAATGCTAGGCTTACCACATTCATATCATCTCTCTAATAGAGGTGGAGCCCACCAATATAATGGAACCCACCTCTATTAGAGAAGTGGTATGAATGTGGTATGAAAAATATGGTAAACCTAGCATTTTCCTTAGTTCATATACCTTTAATTCCCCTTTTCGTAGGGATGCCACTTAATTATTAAATAATTGGTCCGGATATTTCAAGAGAAATGTGGAAGTATATAATATTCATCATACGTGCAACTAATTATCAATGCATTCTTGTCATTTTATTATCAATCTGAAAGTTCGTATTGTGTATATATACCATATTTATGTATAGGCTCTCTCTAGTATATATATGGCTCAAGGAGCAGATAGCTCTCAACTCCGTGCATGTTTCATAGACAGAAACACATCTAACACACAAAAGCCGTAGACAGATTTCCATTAACCCAAGGCCTCATATATCTCTTGAACCTCTAGAAACTCACATACCAACAGATAAAACCCTAGCTCTTCAATCCCATCCACCAATCTTCACAGGACGCGTGTCCAGCACCCAACTGTCCCTTTCCTCTCCCTCCTCCTCCTCCTCCTCTTCCTCATCCTCCTCCTCCCTGAAGCTCCTTCTTTTCCCCCACATATTTCCAATAATCACAGCCATGAAAACTGAAGTTAGAGGAAGCACCACCTCCATTTCTCTACAAAATCCTACTACTATCTTCAACACCTCTCAGGGCCCTTCGCTGACCGGCGCACTCAAAGGTTGTCTTGGAAGCCTTGACGGAGCATGTATAGAGAAGCTCTTACTTCACTGTGCAAGTGCCCTAGAGAGCAACGATGTAACCTTGGCCCAACAAGTGATGTGGGTGCTCAATAATGTTGCTTCTTCTGTTGGTGACCCTAACCAAAGGTTGACCTCATGGATCTTGAGGGCATTGATTTCAAGAGCCTCCAAGGTTTGCCCTACACCTATGAATTTCAATGGAAGCACTAGTAGTAGTACGATCCCAACTAGGTTGATGTCGGTGACCGAGCTAGCCGGGTATGTTGATCTAATCCCATGGCATCGTTTTGGATATTGTGCATCAAATAGTGCTATTTTTAAGGCAATTCAAGGGTGCCCAAAAGTCCATATCTTAGATTTTAGCATCACTCATTGTATGCAATGGCCTACTTTAATAGATGCATTAGCCAAAAGGCCTGAGGGGCCTCCTTTGCTTCGAGTCACTGTTCCCAATTGGAGGCCACAAGTTCCTCCTTTGCTCAATGTGTCAAGCGAAGAAGTTGGTCTTCGTTTGGGGAATTTCTCTAGGTTTAGAGATGTCCCTTTTGAATTCAACGTGATTGAAAACTCATCTTCTTTGGAATTGCTATTGAGTACTCAATTAAATCCTTCTCCCCTAGACCTCCGGGATGATGAGGTTTTGGTTGTAAATTGTCAAAATTGGTTGCGCTATCTCTCCGATGACCCACGTGGCGGTAGCCCGAGTCATCAAGATGGCTCTATGCGCAACACTTTCCTTAACATGATTAGATCCCTTAACCCTAGGATCATAGTTGTGGTGGATGAAGATTCTGATCTTAGTGCACCAAGTCTTAGCTCAAGAATAACCACTTGCTTTAATTACATGTGGATACCCTTTGACTCCTTGGAGACTTTCTTGCCCAAAGACAGCGCCCAAAGGATGGATTATGAATCTGATGTTGGTCACAAAATTGAAAACATTATTGGATTTGAAGGGCACCAAAGAATAGAGAGGTTAGAGACAGGCGTTGCAATGTCACAAAGAATAAGGAACGTTGGTTTCTTAAGCGCCCCGTTTTGTGAAGAGACTGTAAAGGAAGTGAAGGGCTTGCTAGATGAACATGCTAGTGGTTGGGGCATGAAGCGTGAAGAAGATATGTTGGTGCTCACTTGGAAAGGGCACAACTCAGTTTTTGCCACAGCTTGGGTTGCAAATGGGCCAAATCCAAATGGGTTGTTAATGGAGGATTAATTGGCTTGAAAAAAGAAAAAAAAAAGTTGTTCATGCAGAGTGAAGTTATGAATTTGGACCTACCATATGGGGATTGGGGGGAGTGATCCAGGTGATCGAGAGGCAATGACAAAAGCTTATCTGGTTGCTTTTTTCTCTTCGTCAAAAAGCTGCAAATGAGCACCAGACAAAAAGGAAAACGGCAGGCATTTTGTGGAAAAATGATTTTTTCACGAGCACTTTGTATTGAAGCTATAGCTGCTGTGATCCATCACATGAAAGGCAAGAAAGAGGAGAGAGAGTGAGAATGGATATATTGTTGTCTGCTGTTTTTGTATGGGACAAAGTCTATAGTACTTTAATGTTTTTCCCATCTGTACGTACGTGCAGGCTTTTGTTCCATGATCAGTTCTGTGAAATTTAACTTTTGTTTAGCCTTTTCTTTAATCATAAGAGTAACTATTCCCTTAATAATTTCTTGTTTTGGCAACAGTTTAAGTGACAATATGTACGAGTGGAATCTTGAAAGCTACTTCTTTTTCTTACTCAAATTAGTAACTAGGCTTTTGTTCCATAAGATCAACTTATCTGTTAAAGGCATCTTTAAAGACATGGATATATATACATTTTCTATGTTTCGGATTGTGTTTTATTCTTGGCCCAACCTTAGAGCTTGAATTTTAGGGTAAATCTAGGAACAGGAGCATGCATGCGCACATACCAACGAAACAGTGTATCAATTGTCGAGCATGAAAAGAGAAACATATAACAAGGCCCACATTGCCTTTAATTTCATGAGTCGTCATCTTTTTGTGAATTATCATTATTCGGATGTTAGGATTCGAACTCACGATCTTTTTTTAGAGTGCAATTGCTCCGAACCACTACACTAGTTATAATCTTATTGTTTTTTCTCAATTTAATCCTTTAATTTGTATTCAGTTAATTGCAGCAACTTCAATGAAGTTTCTAGTATATTGCATCTCCGTTTGGTACACTAACTCATAGCTCTCCATAAACATATGAACGTGGATTTGTAGGAGCCATTTTACATAAGTTGGTCAACAATTCATTATTTTTTTTGCATTATGCAAAAATGAGAAGAATTAACGAATTTGGTACTAGTCAGAAAAACCGCACTAATTGTATATGACTTTTAGTAGGGAAACTTTCATCCGAATATTTTACCATGCAACCTTCATACCAAATTATAGCACCTCGATTTCGAGGGCAATGTTTGCGAATGTGAAGGCTTGCTTCAAGTATATTTGACAATCAATACTATCTTAATTCTAAGGTTTACCCATAAAATTCAATTATGGAAACACATCAGAAAGTCTAGGGATTTTCATAAATAGACCCATTCTAACATGGCATTTTATACAAAACCCCTTAGAAAACATATTTGGAGAAAAAAAAAACCCTTAATTAGCCACTTGTCATGTTCTAATTGGTTATTAGGGTGTTACAATTTTTTCACTTGAAATTAATATGTAGTTACCAATGAGATGTTAGTTGGATTGACCCAGGTCTTTGGTGTTAGTTGGATTGACCCAGGTCTTTGGTGTAATCCCAAGTGGTTGTGAGTTCAAATTCCCATTATACTCTTTCACCACTCGTCATTTTAAATAACACGATGTAGAAGTGAAAGCTTGAAAGCAATAACTCGATGAATAGCTAGTTCATTTTCGTACTCAAATTAGTAACTAGGCTTTTGTTCCATAAGATCAACTTATATGTTAAAGGCGACCATATTATTCTTGGTCCAAACCTTAGAGCTTCAATTTTATGGGTAAATCTAGCAACACAGAAACATGCCTGCACGCATACCAAGGAAATAGTGTATCAAAGTTGAAGTATGAAAAAGTTAAATATATAACAAGGACCACATTGCCTTTAATTTCATGAGTTGTCATCTTTTTCTTGATCGCGGTAATTATTGTTTTGTCTCAAATTAAGCCTTTAATTTCTCAGTTAATTGCAGGGCTTCAATGGAGTTTATAGTATGAACAAAAAAGTTTGGCCGTTGAGAAAAAAAGGAAATTGAAAATTTATAAATCCGACCTGCCGGATTCGAACCAGCGACCTAAGGATGGCTGAGAGCACATAACCCACTACAGTCCTCCGCTCTACCAACTGAGCTAAGGTCGGATTGTTGGTGTTTACATTGTCAGATATCTATATGAAACGTAATATTTAATTTCCGAAGCTTGGGCCTATTGAGCTGGTAGTGACTTTAAGAAAAAGCCCAAGATTGAGTAGCATGCAATGTGAATAGTTTGGGCTCAATTGAAACCTAAAATAAGTCTGGGCTTAAGGCTCTAGCTAATAAGCTTGGGCTGTATTGATCCTACAACATGAGTGTAAATTTTTTTTTTTTGGGGTCAGCTACAAAATGAATTTAATTAAGTTGTAACTTGTGATGTGGTGGAAAGAGTATTAACACACACAACAAAGTTGTAATGTTGAAAGACAATTTTATGAGATGAACAATGCCCAATCATCTCTCTTAACTTTTTCTTTTTTTGAGAGCAATCATAATTTAAATAACAAATGGGTAAATACAAGAGATGTACAAGAAGAAAACACTCCAAATGGAGGTTCTTGCGTACAATAAATCGGGAACATTAAATCCAACAAGATAGTGAGTAATAAATATTACAAAATCAAGCCTAGCTCACTTAGAGTTGACATATAGAGGATCAAGAAGACTCCTTACAGCACTAGTGCGACAAAGAGACCATGAGAATAACTTATTCTGCATGAACAAAGAACCAGAAGCACCAAAAGTGAAAGGGCCTTACCACTCAACATCCATTTGCCCAAAGAATACCACAACACCTCTAGCATCCCACATGATCTCACTGCACCAAGTCTGAAACATCCGTCAAGATCTTACAACTCTACCTCCGCAACATAAAGGATCTTTAAAAGCCAATAAAAAGGGATTGGGAAGAAACAAAACCCATCACAAACTAGAAAGAAGCAAAACCCAACATAAAACTGGGGAGGAAAATCTCTCTACAACATGACGGGGGAGAGAGTCGCTCAGTTTATTAGCCGAAGGGGTTGGTTCCAGGGAAAATCCCTGGAACCAAAGACCAAGAAGAAAGGAAAAGAAAAAGAACAAGGGTTGAGAGAAAAGGAGAGAGTAGCATCTCTCTTAACTTTTTACTCTCGACTTATAAAACATCCTTATATATGAAAAATCCGAGAAATAACTAGAGTTATCTCAACTTTCACATAACATAAGTCCTTAAATCCAAAACAAAACCAAAGTAAAACTCATTCTATATGAAAATAGTTAATGTGTCACATCAATTGGGTGTACCATATTGTTGTGTTTTTAAATAATGTGTCACATAAATTTTGTCAAAAAGTAACGGAGATAAAAGTTGTGATGTACAGTGTACTTGTGTTGCGTTTTCCTGTAACGTTGTAGAAGGAAATCACAAATGGTTCATGAGAAGAAATAAGGGAACCATTTGTCTGGCAGAGAGTCGGATCTGTTGGTGGGACCCACGTGACAGAAGTGGGGTCCTCCAAAGCCACGTCCTAATAGCAAACGTCCAAATAGTACTCAACCAACGAAACAAAATAAATAATTGAAAAGAAAATCTGAAATGGTCTAGATGGGCATTTCGGTCAATGTAACAATCCTTGCCAGGGAGGGAAGAAATAAATAAAGTAATGGATAGGGGAGGGGAAGGCAATGGGTGCACTGCAGACATACAGAGACTTGCAGCGATGAACGTGGAACAACCAACCAAACAAAGGCAGGGAAAGCCAGCAACAAAGCTTCACTTCCAAGCTTTAAAATGGTCTCCCTCACAAGAATATCACACATTAATATTATTATTATTCACTAATATGCTTTTGGGGTTTTCATAATTAATTGTCTAAGCTTAGATGTATTTTCTCTGGGAATGTCAGAATGTGGCCAGTGGTCTAAATATATAGTATTAGTAACACACACTTCAACTGCTCTCTCTCTCTCACTGGGGTTCATAGTCAAATATTATATATCATACTTTTCTGTCTTTGCACTCTTTGTTTAATTCCCAGTTCTCACTCTTTAGAGGCTTGTCCTCTATATCCCAGTTGAGAACCACATTGCTTCCGCCTGAACCAATGGTGTCAATTTGCATTAACCAAAGTCCTTAACCTCTTTCCCTTTGTCTTCTTTCCCATTTCAGAATATGGATTTGTGTCCTCTACCTCCTCCTCTCTACTCCCCGTTTGGCCTCCTCACCTCTCTGTCTTCGTTGCACCGTTAAAAATTACTTCTTTTGCTTTTCTGATTGCAGTTCCCAAAAAAAGACTCTTGATTTGAAGTGGGTTTTTGTTCATATTTGGTTTTTTAATCATTTGGGTAATGGAGGTTCATTGTGATCTTGAAGTTGATGTCAATGGGGAAGAGTCTTTCATGGTGGACAAGGTAATTCTGTACTTGCAAGTAGTAGCAACCCCATTTCTTTTTCTTCTGTCCAAATGGTGATCTTATTCCACCATTTCTTTGTGTTTAATTTTGTTTACTCTCCTTGTACTGGAAGTGGATTCTCCTCTCTGTATTGTCAGTTCAGTAAATCATGACAGGCCTGAGAGACTGAGATCCTTTATTGCTTGCCAATAATTGGTTGTTCTCTCTCTCTCTCTCTCTCTCTCTCTCTCTCTCTCTCTCTCTTATTGTTATAGAGTCTTGTGCTTGAATTGTGAAGTTTTACTGATTATCTTTCTACATTTCGTGCATGCTCTGGTAATTTTTCTTTGGTTGCTTTCCATGTCCTCCATCATGACTGATGAATTAGAAAGATTTTTCCTTTTCCGTCCACCAATTTAATTCACACCTAATTTGCATTGATGTGGGTCATGGACTCATGGCTACCTTAGCTTTTGTTCTTCTGTTCTGTCTATTTAATTCACAAATTGCACGTTGATTTGGCAGGCCTTTTTCTTTTGCTTCATTCTCTCATTTATTGCTGGTGTTTATGGGGCTCTCCCGTTAATAAGTGCCATGAAAGTAACCCTTTTGAGATGTACTAAGAGTTACTTTCATGGGCACTTATTACAATTTTGTGCCCTTCTTTGCTGGGTTGATCAGCATAAATCTTTTTGGAATTGCCCGTACCACAATTTATTGCCTATAACGACCTCTCTCCATTCTTTGGCAGCTTCTGGTGTAGATTCCCACTTTTTATTTATCTTTTTTTTCCCAATTCAATGAGGTCATTCTTTTGGTGGGTTCCTCCTCTCCATTCTGGAATTTGTTGGGGGGTTCTGTCCTTACAAAATTTCTTCAGTACCTGCAAGTTAGAAGCCTAAATCTTGCATAACATTGTTTCCAGTAATTTAGTAGCTCTCTAAGTGACAATGATTGTCTCTTTTGAGCGAAGGAGTATTAATTTTTTAAAAGATAATGTCCCTTCCTCCTTTAACTCTGTGTTTTCATGATCATTTCTGCAGAAAATTAT